TTCAAATATTCCAAATAACGCTTCTGTAATATTCACACTGTTAAGAGGTACCTTCCCATAATGACAATAATTTAAGCTTTCTGGATTTTCAGTTCATTTCAATACTGATATGACTGTAAACCATTAAATTCATTCTTTGGGCTTCGGTATCTCCTTCTAGTGAAAAGCTCAGTGAAAAGGAAGTAGGAAAAAAAGACAGACTCCCCTACAGCAATTAAAAATGAAAGGTATCAAAGCTATACATCCATCAAGCAAAGGGCCATGGGATGACAGTCTTTCCTGCATCAGAAATAAAGATATGCCTGTCTTCTGACATTCCTTCAATCTTTTTTTATGAATTACTGGTTGCTTTCCTGATCATTCCCTTGAAGAGAAGAACTTCAAATGAGGAGGTAAGTATAAAACCTTGAATGACTTTTGTTCTGAAGCAGGGGCAAACCCACTTGTGTCAGCACACTGCAGCCTTTGTGAGTGCCACGAAGCCCAGCCCAAACAGCATTAACTTGTCTGTTAACAGCATTGTTCTGCTGCTGCCACCTCTACCTAGATTAATGGAACAACATACAGGAGGAGATTAAGATTTCTCTTCCACGGTGCACAGGAGCCCAAGTCATAAACAAGACTTCATCTGCAAGGTGCTATATATAGTACAAAAGACAATCAGTGCTCTGAAGGATTTACTATTTGAGACACAACACGTGTAAATTATCTACAAGGGAAGTAATGAGATAATGATATTGGCCAACATGAGAAGTACTAATCATACAGTTGTGATCAAGATTTTCTAGACATCATTGTAAGAATTCATATCAGAACTTTCCAAAAGCAACTGCAAAAACAAACAGGTTGATCCAAAAAAATGACATTCACTGCAATTAAAAAGAACAATCCAGCTGTCAATAGAGACTGACTGCAATGCAGCTTTTAAAGATTAAAATGCTTCTTTTTCATATGGACTGTGTCGGACAATGGCAGCTTTTTGGCACATAATAGCTAACAGGGAACAGCAGTAAAACATCTGTGAAGGAAAACCTGAATACTTCATATTCTTCATAAGATATGTTAAAAATAAATGTGTTAAAAATTAAATAATAATGATTGTTAGCTTGGCTGATCAATATTAATTCATTGGAAATCAGAATTGCAGTAAAGGCTACAGAGTACTCCTGTAACTGATGAACTGTAATAGTTATTGAAACAAATGATAATGAAGAGGTAATGTTTAGAACTGAAGCTCATTTTTCATGTGTTAAGTTTAAAGAAGTTTCAGTAACAATTCCTCACCTTTAACAGCTTTGATAATGGCATCAATACTGCAAACACATACGTAGAAACACTGATGGAGAGTTATGGGGTTGCTGTTCTACTTTTTAAAATGCTTTCTCTACCCCTAAGAGAGGATGGTCATAGACACCATTTTCCCCTAGTTAGTAGTTACCAGAAGGGTAACTACCTTTATATGCCTTCATATGGCAAGAGCCCTAAAATACACACCATGATCTCCTGAGAGCCAAAGGGAGATGCCCTGAGGGCCGTCAACAGCCTAAAGGTCCTATTGCTCCTCTGAGAGATGCAAGTGTGCACCAGAAGAACTTTGCTGCTGGCTCAACACAAACCTCAGCTTGCATTTGATTAGACAAGATCCCTCATGCCAAGTTTACCAGGTATAGGCACCTAAATGACTCCTAAAAAATACCGTTCCAGTATACAGCAGGATATTAACACTATCCAACACCAGGAACCTCATTCGATCTTCTCCCCTCTTTCAACAGCCAAGACAGAGGAAGAAGCTACTCCAAATGGGAAATTTAGAAAGAAGCTTAACTGAAGCGCTCTGAAGCAGCCTCTGGCACCGTTGTCAGTGCAACAAGAAGGGCAAGCGTTTTCCCTGAGACAGGCACCAATATTCTCTCACTTCTTTCCTCCACCCTTTCTATAGCCCCCAGAAAATCTCTCTCCTCCCACTCCTTACAGTTTCCTTCTGTGCTTTTCTGCTGCTGAATGATCTTGTTGCCTGAGCAACAGCAGCTGAGGAGGGGAGTGGGGAAATGTTCTGGCCCAGTTGTGTGCTACCGGCAGCAGCGCTGCTTTCTGACCCTGCAGTGCATGACAGCAATGGCTGCAGCCTCAGGAAACGAACCTTCTGCTGAGTTTGGTGCCTTGAGTTGGGGGTAACCTCCCTGCTACATGCTGGGGATACTGCAGCACCTTATAGTTTTGTTCAAGGATGAATAAAATGACAGAACACTCAAGACTGCCAAATAAGCAGCTGTTTAGCTTATCCACACGCCCAGATTCTATTCACAAAGCAGCCACATTTGTTACACTTCAATTCTGGTCCTGATAGAACTCAGAAATACAAATTAACTGGTAATGAATCTTTAGAATAACATGCTCGAGAAATATCAGGTTATTACAGGGTCTCCTTCTCCCTTTGCTCTTTTCATTGTGTGTTTTAGACTTCAGAGAAGTACCCACAGCAAACATAGCTACTAATGACCTTTCCAGACCCACCTCAGTGTTTGTACTTTGCTTTCCTTTCACCTTTGCTGTCTGCCTGCTGGTATTTGAACAATACCTGGTAAAATGAGACTGTAGCTCGGTGCTAGCACTGTATAAGAAACAATAATCTCTGCAAGATAGCCAGCAGAGATTCCTTTTCTATTATTGTTTTACTGAAAGAAAGCCTTTTATTGTTTTAAAAAATAGGATTCTGCTTATAAGGTTTTGTGTTCCTACAGCACGTGAAACACTGTGGGTTGCCTCCCCTCTTCCTTGATGGCTTATCATCAAAATGACTGTAATTGCTGCTCTGCTGATTGCAGGAGGGAGGGCTGTGCAGTTTGCCCTGCATTTGAGCAATATGCACTCTGAACATAAATCATGGGATTGTCTGTGTTGATGCTTCTTAATAGATATTAGGAACAGTCTCGTTAAACTGAAACAAAACCCATCAGGGACTGCAGACCTAAATGAGTGTAGCTGCTATGACGTATCACTCTTTTTTATTACAATGTAGTTGTTACTTCTGAAGTAGAAACATAGCTAGTTAGAAGTTCCAGTTACACCTGGGGTTAATGGTGACTTACTGGGAAATTACTGGACCTTTTAAATTTCATATCAATGTGAGCTTCATTCAAAACTCATTTACTCCATCTTAGCAAATCTGCTGTCAGCAGCTGCATACTTGCTAATTCTGTCTCCTGCACTGTATTTGTAGCACTTCTTAAACCTAGTTTTTGGACTATGGTTATTTTTTGTTGAGCATAAAATAGAGAACAACTGGAGCTTAAGCTTGACAGAACCCAACCACAAAAGCTCAGCAACTAATACTTGTTTTTTTGCTCTGTTATCTTCAGAGATAACCTACTTCCATTTTCAGCTCTCCAGCAGAACAGTCAGAGTGACTATCACTGGAGGAAAACACAGTCCAGAATTTATAGCTTACTAAATCCAGTGAGAAGCTTTAATTAATGAATTCTGGAGCACTGTGAGTTGATAGCAGATTCCATCAATTCATTTGGAATAAAACTATCAGGATTTCTCAATGAATCTGGAAGTTTCAAAAGCATTTGTCAAAGCAATGCTAATACATCTAGGACATAAGTAATTACACTTGGGAGAGCTGAGATAACTGGTGAGGTATCTCCAGTGCTGCCTCTTCAATAGCTCTTTCTGACTAATGGCTTCAGCAATGAAGTGACTTTCAAAATACAGCTTTCAAAATCAGAAAGGAGGCCCATAGGGTCATAAAACTGACTGAAGGAAAAGGTGTGAAGCCAGACATCCTTATTGTGACTCATGGATTTCAATGGGATTCCAGAAGGATGGAAACAGACCACATAAATGTGTGTGCTAGGTCACCATTAATCTTCCACCAGTGAAAGATTGCTCCTCACCATTCTGTGGTTTCAAGTATAATTGGTCTCTGGAGATACAAGAAAACTAGAAGGAAAAAAGTTAAATAGTGGGAAAAACCTGAAGAAACAACATAAAAAATGTTTAAAAATTGAGTATCTTAATTTTAAAAGGGCCTCATGAATATCACTGATGGACTCTTATCAACGTAAACCCTTATCAGTATCTTTATCATTTACCTAGTTATTAATACAAACTCTTATACTGACAACCCTCTCCCTGTGATTTGCATTTGGTGAAAACTATATCACAAAATCTTACTTGTTTTCGATAACCCCAGGAAACCTCTCACATTACACAGGAGTTTGGGGATTAAACCATGCATAAAGCTAAGTTATGGTCATCTCCTTTTAATAAAACTTGCCAGAGTAACATAAAACCCCATCTCACAAAGACAAGAATGCAATAAAAATACTACTATCACTTCTTTAAGCTCTACTGAAATTTCTTGGGGGCTGGAAAAAACCCATCTCATATGTGGTAAGGGTACTCACCTGGGAAGTGGATCTTGGAGGGGATTTGTACTTTTTCCAGTGGTTAATTAAAGACAAAAGATGAATAATGAATTAATTCTAAGACAGAAGAATTCCACAAATCAGGAAGCACAGCTTATGATTCCTCCTTTGGGTATATGTCCCAGGCACTAGGCTACATAACTAACCTCACAACATTTCCTCTCATTCCAGTATCTTTAACCCCTCCATAGCACTTATCTTGTAAGAACCTAATTTCTTCATTAGATCAAGGTATAAATCTGTGGCTGACCTCTGTGAAGTCTGCATTGGAAGGAGGTAAGTGCAGCACACAAGTCAAGTAGAGATGGGAATTAAGTCAGCCAGAGCTTGGCAGTAATAAACTGCACAGCACCATGATGCTGTGCACTTGTGTATCTGTACAGTTTGTTCAGTCTTGAAGTATTTTAAAGCTCACCACCACTTTATTATATTTTGACCAGACTCTTTTATCCAAGTCAAAGTCTGTCAAACACTGGGAAAATTATAAATTCTGAGTTTGATTAATAAATAAGAGGAAAAAGAAATGTGAGCACTGACAGTAGCCAAATGTTTCAAAATCTCTCTTAGCAGCAAGGTAACAAGACAGCTCTTCTACTTCACTGCTGTGAAACTGGGTAAATCTTCTTCAAAATAATATCTGAGATGGGGAACATAAAGATTTGTAAGGAATGGATTTTTAACCTGCAAATGTCTCTATCTTGTTGAAATTCCATCTCTTCTTTACATGTAATGTTGGGCATTTGAATATTTCTAAAACACTACTTGGCTTTCATGGACACTCGGGGTAAAAGTAAACTGTCACCTTGCCAAATAGAATGCTCAAAACAGTTCTTGTTTTTCTCAAGATGAGGTGACTGAAAATTCTTGAGGTTGCTGAACAAAACACAGGTCTAAACTGCTTTAAATCCCAGCAGATGATTAGCAACTGATTCCTGGACTGGGAGACACCAAATTCTGAAGGAAAATAAGGCATATAATGCAACAGCACACAATCCTCCCCTGTAACAGTTGTGTTTGCTCCAGGGGGCACATTGGACACTGCACTTGCGTTGTTTTTCTTATGTAGCATGATTTCTAGAGCTTCCAGAGAACACTAAGTACAAAACAGCTAGCAAGCAGGCCAACTAAAGAAGCACTTACCTCAGGTCTGCCATTTGATCTTGTATCCCTGCTAGAAACCACTTCTGCACAGCAAAAATGGCTATAAAGAAAAAGAATAAAACTTTGTGGTTTTGCCCATCACTGTCTTGATCAATTTAACAAGGACTTTCATTTTGAGCTGCTGCAAATATTAAACAAACATTAAACAATCCCCATGAAATCACTCTGGGAACTATCAGTTACAGCTGCACTGCTTTCCTGTATGATGTCAGCTTCAGTGCAGAAAGAATGTCAGTAATCTTTCATTCACTGTTTTCATCCTTTTGGTCAAAATCCAATGTATGTTACACTGTAAATCGAGTTACAATATATACAGTGAATCTAAGGTCAAACACCACATCTTAGAATCAGTGTGGCAACTAATCAGATGATGACCTTTTGTCACTCATTACATATTGAGAAACAGCACCATTAAAATGAATATATATCCACCAGCATAACATGAAATGCGAAAATGGAACCTGAGGTTTCAGTAGGCACAGCAATGGCTAAGAATAAATCCATTTTCATCTAGCATGGACTATTTTTTTCCATGAAGGTGTTTTACTACTTCTGAGAGTTTATACCTGCTCTCTTTTGCTAGCATACAAAAGATATTTGGCTGTTCTTTCTGATCCCTTGCTTATGTCTGGTTTTCAGATATACTTGAGATTTGAACTTCACAATACAACCTGGTCATAAGTAGAATTCCATAACTTTATAATTGAATTATATAAATGGGAAAAGAAATGGCTGTTGAGCTGTGTATTCATCGTGTGTGATGACACCGGGCTGTGGAACTCTCTTCTATGGAATTCATCTGCTCTGCATTTCACAATCGGGAAGTGCAGAAGTCTGCAGTCACTCAGGTGGTGTCAAGCTGAGCTATAAGGAAAAGATCAAGTGTCAGCAATGAATGCTCTACTGTTACAGAAATAACAGTACTTTTTTCACCCAATCATAAGCACTTGCTCAGAGCTCTGCTTTATAGATGGGCTGTGTTCAGAAATCTCACTGAAGCTGCCAGCATTGACCTTTTCATCTGACTGCTCCTGGAGCATCTACATCAGCACAGACATTCATAATGGCAGGACTGCATTCATTTCAGTTACATGAATAGCAACAAGCACTAAAAGGGAAAACACCATTCCTAATTTGTAGTCCATTCTCAGAATTCTGGGAAAAATGGAATTGAACATCAGACAATATTCAACTGCAATATGTAAAGTAGACATTGCACAAGTCGCTTATTCCTATGTTCATTAAACTGAGACTTTAATAAATAGTTCAAATCTCTCTGCTCACATTCTTTTGACAGTATCAGCTCTTTTTCACCCCTCTCCTGCAAAAAGGATTGTATCAACTGCCCTTTAAATATTAGAAATTCCTTCTCAGCATAGCAGATAGAGTACAGAAAACACCACATCAGATTAAAAAGACCCAAGCTAGGAAAAGAAGTGATCAGCTAGACAACTTTGAAAGCATCCTGGCAAGGCCCTGCTTCCCATGGTCACAGAATTTACCTTTCTCTGCAGCACTGAATACACTTCAAGCACCTCTGAACTGGACAGCCTTTGATAGAACTGAACCACTCTTGAGGCAGAAGTTCTAATGCTCGTAACAAAGAGTGTATCACTAAAAAATGGCATCAATTGCAAGCTCTGCAGAGTGGTAATAATTCACAAGCCTTCGGAAACACATTACTAAGGGTCAGGCATTACTAGGAAAAATATTTAATACTAATTTATTTCAGAAATATTAATTAATTAATTATAAGCAGGATTACCTGGGATAGGTGATGAGGCCAACTTTTAACTTCAGTGGGTGCAGAACCACCATGTGGAATGGGGCATTGCCCTTTTACCACCATTAGCTGTGCTCTCTCTTGCTGAAAGATTCCTCAGGTCTATATCTCTACATTTATATATTAACTTGGGGGTTATATTTACATGAGATATTATTCTATGTGTTGAAAACTGAACTCGCATACCTTTCCCTGCTCCTCACCCACACAATACTTACAGTATCTGGAGACTTGTAATTCTCTTTTAAAGGAAGTTCTCTTGTGAATCCTAACCCTGCAGATTTACCCATATAATAAAAAGTATGGTCCAGCAGCTTTTATATCTAGCCAAAGCCCATTAAAACTGACACAAACCAGCAGCAGTTATATCTAGCTTAATTATAGAGATATCTCTTATTTGGGAACATGTAGCACAGTGACAACAGCAAATGACATTCAGCATGTTTCCTGTTTATGCGGGTTGTGGGCTGAGAGCTATCAAGAGGCTCTGCCAACATGCACCCAGTGCATCTGCTGGTGTATGACTGCAGTGGCATCTGCCTTCCCACAAAGACTGAATTACCCCCTTTTACTAATCAGTCAAAGCCAAATTCCTTCACTGGCTCTGACACTGTAATATAGTCCTCAAATCCCACAGCAATACAAGGAGGAGAGGGATGCATATAACTGAAGCCTAAATTTGAACTAAGTAAACATTTGTTATATTTTGGTAGGATTTGTTGGATTATCTTGATAATCTAACTTGTACTATGACTCCAGTGATGGTCTAGCAGGAAAAAAACAAAAGGACCAAAGCAACAGGGTACGTGTACACCACACTCTCTTTGTCCATCTCTTTGTCCATAGTGATGATCCACTCTTAGTGTCTCTTAACCATGCTGGTTCTAAACCCCATGTGGTATCTCCCTCCAGCACTATATTAAAGGACAGACAAGATTTACTAAAGCTGAGAACTGGATGGAAAGCACATGCATGCCATTACCATACTATTCCAGAGTACAAGTCCACTTCCTTCTACAGTGAGAATACATTTTCAGTTAAACAAAGTGAAAACATCCACACATTCTCACACGGACATATTAAAAGGGATAAAAAAGTGGTATTTTATAGTAAAATAATTCTTAGCACTGTTTTTTTTTTCATGCTTAGTGTTTACTCCAGATCATAAAAGAGCAAAAAGGATTTGTCGCTTGCCTGCTGTAAGAGCTCCCTCTGTTGTTACACCCTAAAACTACTGGAAAACATGTTCCATTATCCCCGCATGCTGTTCAAGCAGCGAGGTTTCAAACACTCCATCCTTTGAGAGGGGAGAATCGATACGATTCCCTGAGATAACATTTCAGCCTTATTTTCTGCACAAGCAACTGCTATTTTATTCCAGTCTTACAAAGTACAGAGGGTATCATTTAGAATAACCTGTTCAATGCATCTAAGAAAAAATCCAACTGCATTTAAAGATGCCATATTTGCCCTAAAAAGCTTCCTACTATTCATATTAAACATACTGCACAAACCATTCACCGTTTTTCCTGATGGATTATAAATCCTAAAGCTGAGTTAAAATAAAAAGAAAAAGCTGATGAAATTAAAGGCCCATAGGAAAAACAGTGCTTGTTTTAATGTAAAAAGCCTAAAGGCCAAAATACCTTGCACTCAAAATACCTTTGATTCCAATCAAGATCACTTCTGAAACCCATAAGAGCAATAGAATGACAGGGGAGCTGCAGGCAGCTCAAGTTAAAGGCAGTTTATTGGAGCAAGACACAAAAAGCACAGTAGATGCAAAGCTATGGAAGCATAAATCCTAATTTTCAGAAATAGTATCTTTAAATCTAAGCACCTCTCTTAACCTAGCCCAGGCATTGTGAAGAAAAAGAGTGGGCTGTGGAAGCAGATCTGCTCAGTACTGGTTATGTGCCACAGTTACAGTAATGATAGTGTAACAACTACAGGGATTTCAACTGTCAAGTGCTATGTAATGTCTGCTGTAGGCATTGCTACCAATTCTGCTACAATCTAAGTGGTTTAGGATTAATTTATGTTTAGAATTTGTGAAAGACTGTTTTAAAATCAGCACAGAACTTATAGCCTTGGAACAGGAGGTGAAGCTCACTTGGAGCTACACAAACAAGGCATCACCATGTTTCAGTAACTGACTATTTTTCAACAGGCTTCTCCAGCAATTAAAAGCCATTTGCAGCTCCCTGACTACTGTAAACATCTGGAATGCTTGAAAGTAGAAACTACAGCTGCTTTTCACTCTTTCACCCCAGAGGAACTAAGCTGTTGGCTACTCACATTGTGTTTTGTAATACTTTGTGATTCCCAAGGTGGCCATAAAGCATGGCTTGAGAAAGAGTTTCAGTGTGATGATGTAAGTAGTGAGGTCTTACTACTCCAAGAACAAGGATGACTGCAGCATGCCAAAAGAGCATGCTAAAGTAGGACAGGTTATGGGTTAGGACTTAAAGAAGTGGTATTTTGACACAGGCACAAGGTAGTTCAGAATCTGAATTTAAAACTAAAATACAAGCTAGCATTCAAAAAAGCTGTTGCTTTTCACAGGAGTCTTCACCTAAGAGGCACCCGTTACAGTTCATTTAATACCAGACTGTACTACAGCTGCTCACCATTTCAAACAAATCTACTCTGAATTAGGAAAACACATCGCTGTCACTTTAATGTCTTCTCCAAATCAAACACTCAGAAACAGACGCATTTCTAGAAATTCAAATACGATTGCATCCTATCCTTATAAAGGGAAAAACAAAGGTCAAGTGCAGATATTGGGTTTACAGCTTAAGCATGGTTTTAGTGTGTGTCTGAAACTGTGGATCTGGTACTGACATCAACAATAAAATGGAAGAAATTAATATCCTAGTAATTATTTTTTAATCCACAGAAGGCTGTGACAAATCTTATGTCCATTGTTAGTGTAAGAGAAGAAAAGTCTCAAGCAAAACTGGAGCCTACAGTGCTGTAAGAAAGGCTGAGAGCAACCAAACCAAAATGTGTCCTTCAGAAGGAGCTGTTGGCATTGCTTGTCTGGGCTATGCTTACACTGAATTTGGGATTTAATAAAAGAATAGAAAAAATAGACAACAGCACATACTGTCTCAACCTCAGACAGTGCACTTTAGGAATACAACAGCCTCATTTTCAGGCTATGATATTTCTATAGGTGGAAAGAATCTGTGTGTGTTTAACTTCTGAGACTGATCCTCCAGCTTTTCCGCAAGCAAAGCCTTTGCTGATTACACCTCAAGTTTGAATGCACAATGATCAGCACCAGGATGTGAGGAGCAGAAATCTAACACCATGTGTTAGCAAGGTTTTACACAACCAGTGGCAGTTTGCATATAAAAATAAAACAAGAATTGAAACATTGAAAAAAATAAGAGAAATCAGCGACAACTAAATTATTAATGTCCTAATTAAAACAACTGTCGTGGTTTAAACCCAGTCAGGTAACTCATTCACTCACTCCCCCCCTTCTTTCCCTCCCCATACTCCTGGAGGGACGGAGAGGAAAATCGAAAAGAATGCAACTCCCACGGGTTGAGATAAAAACAGTTTAGTAACTAAGGTATAACACAAATCACTGCTGCTACTACCAATAATAACAATGATAAAGGAAATAACAAGGGAAGAGAATACAACACCTCACCACCAACCAACCGATAACTCGGCCCCCCGGCCCGACCAAGCACCAACCGATACCTCCTCCAACCCCGCAGTCCCAGCCCTTCCGGCTAACTCCCAGTTACCTCCTGGGCATGACGTGCTGTGGTATGGAATACCTCTTTGGTCAGTTCGGGTCAGGTGTCCTGTCTCTGCTTCCTCCTGGCTTCCCCTCCTCCCTGGCAGAGCATGAGGCTCACAAAGTCTTAGGCCAAACCAAAACATTGCTATCAGCTCTGTTCCCAGGCCGAAAGTCGAAACACTGCACTGCACCAGCTACCAAGAAGGAGAAACATGACTGCTGCTGCTGAACCCAGGACAACAATGTATTTTGCTTTAAACATTATTAGAGATAATTTGTCCTCAAATTCCATTGCTCTTTTATTACAGCATGGGGGCTGGAACTAGACGATCTTAAGGGCCTTTCCATACCTAGCTATTCTATGATCTCAGAGTTACGGGCTCTGATTCCAGAGCTTTCAGTATCTCCTGAAGACAAAAGATGTTCCTTTGGCCACTCTTTATTCTGGCACTAAAGGCCTCACGTTCCTGTTTGACTGAAGTCAGGATATTTTTGTACATGGTAACATACTTTCTTACATGTGAATGTCTCTTTAACATAATACTTAAAGAGAATGAATAGTAAAGCAGCTTTCTGGAACATTCTAATAAGCATAATAGGTTTAAAATGAAATGAAGGGACAAAATAATACTCCTTAGATAGCCTTTGGATCAAGTTCTGTGGCACTGATCTAAAATAATAAGAAACAGTCCCAGAAGCAAGTAACAAGGCACTGAATGAATTTAGCACTTACAGGTGTAGAAAACCAAAGGAGAGGGTACTGTGCACTTTAGTATCTTAAAATGGCAGTCCAAGTCAAGATTTAAAAGCAGATTCAATAATCTTTATTCCTATCTATCCTGAAAAGTAAGAATATCTATTCTTGGTTTATCACTGCCACAAAGTTATGAAAAGTGGTTTCCAAGCATGAACACTGCTGTAACTTTTGGTAATACGAATTTATTGGAGAGGATTCTATTTGACCACAGTGCACACAGGGGCGCAAACCAGCTGAAAGCATACCTACCCTTGACCAACAAGTCCCAGTTGGTCTGCTAATACACTTTTTCCTCAGAAGACAAAGCAGGAGCAAACCAATTTTCACTGATTATCAGTCACTTCTCATGTACATGAAAAATATTACCCTGTGAAATGTTTTACTGTCTATAATGTAACACTCCTCAGGTGTGTGTGCTCGTCACAACCT